TTGTGCTCCTCTTTTTAAGGCAGCAAACAGGACATTTTAGATAGCTGCATTTTTCTCTGTCTCCGCCCATACAATCAGTGTGAACTGCGCATTTGATGAATACTGAGTTGTTAGAGCTGAAGTTTACCAGCTTGGTCTTTGGAGAAGTCAGCATCACTAATTTGAAATAGTCTTCTTCTTCTTCTTTCTCTCAAACTGTAGTCGAATCGCCTAGGAATCTGGTAGTCTGTAGTGTATTATTATATGTACTTTTAGGTAGCTGGGCTACAGTCAGCAGCTGATCTCAAGAAAGAGTCGGAGAAACTGCGCGAACGTGAAGCTAAGGTATCAGGCGTATTTTTTTGGTACCGTAAATTACTGCTTGCTCAGTTTTATACGTTTTTCCTTAGACTCTCTATTTAGATGTTCGAAGAAATGGATGCATCAGTGAGCGGTCGAAATGCAGAGACCACTGTACGGCAAAAACAAGTACGAAAAGGTGTGCAGCATTATTTATTCATTGTATATTTTTGGGGGAGAAGATCATATTGCTTTTAGGTCGTGAAAAACCAGAAGACAAGGAAAGAAAAGAGCGCGAGGCCAAGAAACAAGCAGAACTTCAAGAGAAATATGAGCTGTGGAACAAAGGAGTGGCTCAGGCTGAGCGGGTATGGTTTCTCATACAGTCTTGTGAATATTTCAGGACATTTTGGCTAAGGGACTGGGGCACAAAAGGCCGAATAAGCTTTTCTTTGCGCACAGAGATTGGGTGACGCGTCCCAAGTTCCTTTTTTAGGCAGAATCCCTCACCTCTAGCACGGCAATCCCAGTTTAGCGCAGGAACACCTTTCAGTGTCCACTCTCATAGCGTTTTTACGCCAATATTTGGTTACCGCTTTCTGGATGATTCAGTAAGAGATGTTTCTTTTCCTACAAAAGTTCGTCATAACGATGTGGAGATGCGGAAAATTGGTCATTCTTGACCATCTCCTGCCACGGCTTTCACTCTTACGCCCCCCCCCGTTCACTTGAAAATTCAATCTTTTCTTTCTCCCTACCATATTGCCATGAAAACTCGTAGAGCGAGGACAACTGTCCCGTAAACGAAGAAGGTCTGCAATTCGGAATTCCTAGATCTTCCTACGTTGGTACAGGGTACCGAATTCGACCGTTTTCCTTTAACGAGTAAACACGACCTCCTCCGCCCCCTTGTTGAGGACTCCATGAGAACAATATGCTTCATTTCTCTCTTCCTGAGAGTGGAAGTTTATTCACTCATTTGCATTAACTTTCGGAATCAGAAGAACAAACTTCAAAGACAAAGTGTAACTCACTTTGTGGATCCTTGTCCTTGTCATGGGTGAGGTGTATGGGTCCTCAGCTGCAACAGCGTGTTCTTCGGTCAAAATTGTACGGGAACGGATTATTTATGTAGTAATGCCCAGATGCCCTTTCCATATTCCTCCGGCGCTGCTGCGCGGCCAACTGGGCGCCTAGCCCTAGACGAGCGCTCTTCTTGTCTACGCCTTCTCCTTTCTGATTGTCCTGTATCGCAGAGTTCGTTTCGCAGCGGAACCTTCGTATCGACGCCAATGCTGCACCTTGAGAATAGCGCGGGCGGAGTTGGAGCTCGGATGCCCCCCACAGTTTCGTTCCCGTGCACTTTTGAGCGAAGAAAGTGAGACGCTACTGCGGCTGCACGTCCATTTACCTCGCACATGGCAAGGGCCGTCTTCGGAGGTGTGTGTAAGGCCTCCACAGGCGGCCCTTGCCATGCCCCTTTTGTCTATAAGGCACCACTGAGATCAATTTTGTTGGGAGAAGAGCCGGGTTTATTCAGAAAGTGAGCGGCCTAATTTCAGCGAGCAGCACAACTGGACGAGATGGCTCGTGTAGCAGCTGAACCGCTGGCAAGAATGGCCGATGACGTAGAAATGAATCGGCAGCTGAAAGAAGAGATTCATGAGGAGGATCCAATGGCAGTGATGTTGAATAGCAAAAAACGAAAGCAAGCTCTCAAACGAGGAGATTTGGGTAAGACACAGTCCTGTTCGTTGCGGATG